GGCCGGCTGGCGCGGCCGCGCCACCTCAGGCGACGCTGACCGGCGCCAGGCGCTTCGGCGTCAGGCGCTTGGCCTGGAGCAGGACGAGCTGCTGCAGCTCCGGCGCGCCGGGCACCGCGGGGATCGCGTCGACCGCCGCACCGAGAAGCTGCTGCAGGCGCGCGCCGGCGCCCTCGAGGCCGAACTCCGCCACCGCGCTGGGCCGGCCGAGGGCCGCGTCCCGGCCGACCGGCTTGCCCAGCTCCTCCGGCGTGCAGAGCGCGTCGCGCAGGTCGTCGGCGATCTGGTAGGCCTCGCCCAGCCGCTCGCCCAGGCCGCGCCAGGGGCCGGGGTCGGCGCCGGCCGCCACCGCGCCGGCGACGCTGGCGGCGACAAACAGCGCCCCGGTCTTGGCCCGCTGGTAGCGGGCCAGGTCGGGCCGCGGCTCGCTCTCCCAGGCCTGGCCGGCGACCAGGCCGCCGGGCACGCCGACGGCGCGGGCGACCGTCACGCTCAGCGCCGGCAGGCGCTGCGGCATGGCGGCCCCGGCCTGCGCCAGGGACTCGAAGGCCAGCACGATCAGCGCGTCGCCCGCCAGCAGGCCCAGCGGCTCGCCGTAGACGGCGTGGACCGTCGGCTTGCCGCGGCGCAGCTCGGCGTCGTCGAAGCAGGGCAGGTCGTCGTGCACCAGCGAGGCGCAGTGCAGCAGCTCGATGGCCGCCGCGGCGGCGTCGCTCAGCGCCGGCGTGTCGTCGCCGCAGGCGCGCGCCACCGCCAGGCTGAGCTGCGGGCGCACGCGGGCGCCGCCGGGGAAGACCGCATGGCGCAGGGCGGCGGCCAGCTTGGGCGGCGCGCCCGGCGCCGCCGCGCGGCCAACGGCCCGCTCCAGGGCCTGTTCGATACGCGTCGCGGCGTCCATGGGCAGCCTCCTCCGCAGCCGGTCGCCTCTGTCAAGCGACCCGACTGTAAGGCTATCTTGTCATTTTGATGTGTCAAGTTGATTGAACAGTTGCTAGGCTGACACCCGTTCGGAACCGTCAGGAGTGCTTGACAGCCATGGCCTCATCGCGCGGCCGACTCGTGGTGATCGGCGCCGGCGTCGGCGGGCTGGCCGCGGCCATCGCGGCCGCCGCGCGCGGGCTGGAGGTCACGCTGGTCGAGCGCGCGGCCGCCCCGGGCGGCAAGATGCGCCAGGTGACGGTGGACGGCCGCGCCTTCGACGCCGGGCCCACGGTCTTCACCATGAAGTGGGTGTTCGACGCGCTCTGCGCCGAGGCCGGCACCACGCTGGAGGCGCGCCTCGGCCTGCGCCGGGCCGAGACCCTGGCGCGCCACGCCTGGACCGACGGCAGCCGCCTCGACCTCTTCGCCGACCCGGCGCGCTCGGCCGACGCCATCGCCGCCTTCGCCGGCCCGGCCGAGGCGCGCGGCTTCGCGGCCTTCCGGCGCGACGCAACGCGCATCTACGCGGCTCTGAAGGACAGCTTCATCGCCGCCCAGCGGCCCAACCCGCTGGAGCTGACGCGGCGCGCCGGCCTGCGCGAGCTCGGCGCGATCAAGCCCTTCTCCAGCCTGTGGCAGGCGCTCGGCGGCTACTTCGCCGATCCCCGGCTGCGCCAGCTCTTCGCCCGCTACGCCACCTACTGCGGCAGCTCGCCCTTCGCCGCGCCGGCCACGCTGATGCTGGTCGCGCAGGTGGAGATGGACGGCGTCTGGCTGGTCGAGGGCGGGCTGCACGGCCTGGCCCGGGCGCTGGCCGAGCTGGCGGCCGAGCAGGGCGTGCGCCTGCGCTACGCCAGCGAGGCGGCGGAGATCCTGACCGCGGGCGGCCGCGTCAGCGGCGTGCGCCTGGCCGACGGCGAGGTCCTGCCGGCCGAGGCGGTGGTCTTCAACGGCGACGTGGCCGCCCTGGGCCAGGGGCTGCTCGGCGCCGCCGCGCGGCATGCCGCGCCCGCCCCGCCGGCCGCCGCCCGTTCGCTCTCCGCCCTGGTCTGGACCCTGCGCGGCCGCCCCCGGGGCCTGCCGCTGCTGCACCACACGGTCTGCTTCTCCGACGCCTACAAGGCGGAGTTCGACGCCATCTTCGACCATGGCCGCCTGCCGGCGCAGCCCACCACCTACCTCTGCGCCCAGGACCGCGCCGTGCCGACCGACCTCGAGCGCACCTCCGAGACCGGTGCCGCACCGGAGCGGCTCTACCTGCTGGTCAACGCGCCGGCCCGCGGCGACCGCGCCCCCTTCAGCCCCGAGGAGATCGAGCAATGCCGGGAGCGGACCTTCGCCCTACTGCGGCGCTGCGGCCTGGAGATCGAGAGCGCGCCGGCGGCGCGGGCGGTGACCACCCCGGCCGACTTCGCCCGGCTGTTCCCGGCGACGGGCGGGGCGCTCTACGGCCGGGCCTCGCACGGCTGGGCGGCCAGCTTCCAGCGGATGGGGGCGCGCAGCCGGCTGCCGGGTCTCTATCTGGCGGGGGGCAGCGTGCACCCGGGCCCGGGGGTGCCGATGGCGGCGCTGTCGGGCCGGCTGGCGGTGGAGCGGCTGTGGGCGGACCTGACTTCCGCCAGCCGGTCGTCCCGGGCGGCTATCTCTGGTGGTACCTGGACGCGCTCAGCGACGACGGCCGGCACGGACTGACGGTCATCGCCTTCGTCGGCAGCGTCTTCTCGCCCTACTACGCCTGGGCCGGCCGGCGCCGGCCGGACAACCACGTCTGCCTCAACGTCGCGCTCTACGGCCCGCGCGCGCGCTGGGCGATGACCGAACGCGGCCGCGTCGCCCTGACGCGCGACGCCGCCAGCCTGTGTATCGGGCCGAGCGCCCTGCACTGGCGCGACGGCGCGCTCTGCGTCGAGGTGGACGAGCGCGCCGCGCCGCTGCCGCGCCGCCTGCGCGGGCGCATCCGCCTGATCCCGCAGGCCGTCACCGGCCGCGCCTTCGCCCTCGACCCGGCCGGCCGGCACCGCTGGTGGCCGATCGCGCCGCTCTGCCGGGTCGAGGTGGAGATGCGCGCGCCGGCGCTCACGTGGGCGGGGCGCGGCTACCTCGACGCCAACGCCGGCGAGGAGCCGCTGGAGGCGGGCTTTCGCTTCTGGACCTGGGCGCGCGCCACCCATGCCGAGGGCGCGCTGCTGGCCTACGACGCGCTGCGCCGCGACGGCACGCGCGCCAGCCTGGGCCTGGAGGTCGACCGCGGCGGCCGGCTCGGCGAGATCGCGCTGCCGCCGGCGGTGGAACTGCGCCGCGGGCTGTGGGGCGTGCGCCGCCCGGTGCGCGGCGGCCTGGCCAACGGCAGGGCCGCGGACGCCCCAGAGGACGGGCCAGAGGACGGGCCAGAGGACGGGCCGGACAGCGGCCTGCGGCTGCGGCGCGGGCTGGAGGACGCGCCCTTCTACACCCGCTCGCAGCTCGCCGGCCGGCTGTGCGGGCGCGAGGTCGCGGTGGTGCACGAGAGCCTCGACCTGGACCGCTTCGCCAATCCGCTGGTCAAGCTGATGCTGCCCTTCCGCATGCCGCGCCGGCCCTAGAGCCGATTGTGATCGTTTGGCCCCACAGCGTGGGTCCGCCGATCACAAGAAACCGGCTCCACACCAAAGGATTGGAGTGATTTTTCGCGACCGTTTGGACGCGCTGACGCGCGTCCAAACGGTCGCAGA